GGGAGGCCAAACGAACGGATCGATGAAAATGAACGGCGAAAGCAGGATCGAATGAATTAAAACTGATCGGCCAGCAACAGTTAACGGAGTGCGTCAGTTAACCTGGCGATCGGTTAACCACGCGACGCAACTTTATTACGACCCCTGTCTCGCGGATCCCCATGAATGGAATATCAATTAGTGGAAAACGAACCGGCCGGATTATCCTGACTTACTTTAAATCTGCTGCGAGCCGTCATGCAGCACGCGTAGCGCCCCCTCTATCGAATAAATCTCCTCGCTCTTGCTACAGGTCGATCGAAGTTGCTCCCTTGATCCATCCAACGAGCATAAATTCTCAGACATTAGAAAAACGTCTGTTTTGCAATGTTGCTGTAAGTAACGTGGCGGCGTAAGCCTCTTCGGCCGGCTGCAATTAGTGGCCTGTCTTGTTGAGTTACAATGCAATTTCTCATACTCTAACAATGAGTATACAACGTAATTTGAAGGATGAATTGAGCATTTAAAAAAGTTGAAATGTAACATATATATATAATATTTTATAACATTTGTCTTTTACAATATTCACAAATATATATACAAAGACAGTAATATATTTAATTATACACAAAACTTCTCCTTTAAATATTCTTTCAGCACGTATATATATATATATAATATAATAATAATATATAGTAAAATAAAATAAAATATAATAATAATATATATAACAATATATAAAATATAATACAAAATATAATACAAATACATGTTATAATATAATACAAATATAATACAAAATACAATACAAAGACAGTAATATATTATACACAAAGCTTCTCCTTTAAATATTATTTCAGCACGTATATATATAAAATATTACTACATTATTATATTAAATATTATATAAAATATTATTACATTGTTATATTAAATATTATATAAAATATTATTATATATATATATATTACTGTGATATTGTAACAAATTTGATACTAACAAATAACGACGTGTAAGTGGAACGAATATTATATTAAATGTTATAACAAATGATACATACATACAGTGTAAGCATGACTTTCACTTTGAGATTATATGTAGTTTAATATTTATATTAATACATATAATAATTTATATTTTATATGTATATATACAATACAATGTAACTTTTATAGTTATAGTTAGAAGTTGAAAATTACATGTTATGTAAATTTCTGCACTTTAAATATTTAACAAAAGAGAGAACCCTGCGCAGAATTAAGTCGACGCAAATGCTCCTTTTGATCTGAAGTCTTTGTCAAATGCAAAGAGATTAAATATAATTTAAATATACATTCGACTCATTGTAACAAGATGTTTCTCTTAAAAGCGTGTGTATATTTTAATTTTTACACTTGATACATAAGATAATGTAAATATTTATACCTTCGAACTTTCCGAAAATATGCAGATATTTCAGTTACAAACTAACAGTATCTTGATTTCCTTCTCTTCTTTCGAACAATTTGAAACGTTCATTGTTGATTAGGAATTTTGAAATATCTTTCTTCGGATTTCGACTTGCATCAGCTCTGCCAGGCTATTTATATAAATTCCGAACCCGACCCGGTAATCGCGAATCTATGTAATGCACGTTGCAATGCGGGAAACCCCGTTCCCTTATTTCCAACGTTATCGCGCAACAATGCCAAACAACGAAACAAACTTGCCAGCGTTGATGTTACAATTATCGCGTTCCGCTAACGATATTACAGATTTGCTAATTGAGGTTTCGTTGGCGAAACAACTGGCGTGCGTCGCCGGACGAGGCATCGTACAAACGATTTCTAACAATGCAACGACGATTTCTAATACTGAATCGCGATAATGGCAGCTGTAATGAGGTACCCCTCAATTCGTCCATCATCGTCCGGTGCCTACGTGATTAGTTTACCTAAGTTGCCATTTTATATCTGCACACACGATAGAAATCACGGGTCAGATCTGACACGGTAATGTAAACTTTGCAAATAGCGGCAAACTTTTGTTTCTGGATTTTGCATTTTTGTAATTTTATTATATTCTTTTTATCTTCTACGTTGTGTATACAATTTTTATAACTTGCGTTTTATATTTTTTTTTATATATTGGAAAGAAATGTTATTTATTTTTTTGTTTTAAATGTTATTTATAATCGTTATGTTTATTTTTTAAAACACAATTTTACTTGTTCAAAACATAATTCTACACTTCTCTTTCGCTGAATATTCTAGCTTCCTCAGTCATTTTAGTACATAATTAATAATAATTGAGCGAAAATGTCGGATTTTTTATGGAATTTTTCAAATTTTTAAATAATTTTAGTTATAATAGGTAGGTTGAAAGGAATAACACGTATATTATATAAAATTATATTAAATTATGAAATTCAATTGCATTCTATTATTATTTCAAGTTAATTGCCGTCTAAACAATATATATATTTGATCTGATGTTGATTCCTAATCAGATTTTCTAAGTTAATCCGATTTATACTGTCCGATTCAGCGTGAATTTTCAATTTTACTGAAGGATTAAGGATTTAATTCAAATCAAAAGCACTTTTGTCTGAAAAGCCTGTACAGAGTAATGGAACAATGTTGGATTAAAAGATTTTTCATATTCGAGGTATATTCGAATCCGAAATATTCCTATATATTATAATTTGAAGAATTAGAATCGTAAATTACTACAGTTTAATCTCAAAGTAGAAATGAATCAGAATCAACGAAATAGATCAAAATCGATACACGATAAAATTACAAATGACGAATGAATAGTATATTTATTATTGCATTTGATACTTCTGCAAATATTCAATTATTACACGCAGAATTATAATTGCCAGTGTCGAGAGTTTATTACTGAACTGACAACATGGATTTTAATTAACTTTCGCTCGTGACAAATTTCTCCTTTGCGCTTGTAAAATTCCGAACGCCTACACCAAGATCATTACAAATACACTACGCAGCTAGATGATGTCATTTCCTTCCAATCTTTTCCCTTCACGTATTTTTCAAACAATTTCTTTTCTGCCTCATTCGCCAGTATCTTTCTCGAAATTTCAAACTTATTTAAATAAATATTTAAATATTTGAAAAAGTTTTTTTTTCTAAATTAAATATTATGAAAAAATATTTAAATAATATTTAAACTTGAATTATCATTTAAAATATTTAATTATTATTTAAACTAAATTATTTACTATCATTTAAAAGAAAGTCGACCGTCCAAGAAATTCCCCCATTGAGAAATATAATCACTGCCAACGTGTGTGCTCTCGTCATAAAATCTTCGCTTCCTTCTACGAAAGTCCACCAAGAAAAGAAAAAGAAAAGAAAAAAGAGAAAAGGAAAAAACATCACGCACGGAAATGTGAAAGAAACCATTCCAAGCATCGCTCGACTGCCATTCATCCACCATCGTCGATCCTCTCCGTTTTCATTCTATTCACGTGTGCAAGAGAGAGAGAGAGAGAGAGAGAGAGAGAGAGAGGAATAGAACTTCCTCGACCCACTCGCTCGGCAATCGAAGGCAGAAAAATCGGATCGATCGACGCGAAAGTGCCTTTTACACTCAAATTCCGCGAATCTGGCCGCGAGAGAATGAAAAACACGAGGCTGCTCGAATATGGCGAAGGCGAGACATCTACCCCCCTCCGCAGCTGTGTTGGAACGCCAGCGAGTTGAACGTATCGGGACCGACGTACGAACGCTCGCTACGTGCCAGGAAACGCTAATACCTGAACAGCTGATTGATTGAACGGGCTCTGGGGCTATGATCCTCTCGTAATCGTTGTAAGCCAAATACGTGCCGCGATACACGTTTACCGCAGCTCACCGCCGCGTGTTACAGCGACGAGGAGGAGGAGGAGGAGATGGTGGTGGAGGGAACACGGCGTGGTAAGTAGCAACAGGACAACGATTATCTCGAAGCGAACGTTTGTCAGCCACCCCTCGTACGGCTGTTCCCCTACGATCGCCATTCGCGTAACCTTTTTGTCCACATTGCGTATGCAATTGCATAATTTCTTTTGTCCTTTCGTGTTTCCCACCGTGTTTCGTAATTAAACAATGGGACAGCGCTTCGAGTGCACCAGCCTGGATCGTGAAATTAATTTTTTTAATTATAACTTATTAATTATCCATAATTAGTATAATGTCCTTCGATTGCGAATTTGATGAGAATAAAGAACGAAGGACAGGAAAGATTTGACTATTGAAATTGGACTGTCGAGCCAACTTCTGAAACTTTTCTCAGTCACAAAGAGCAAATTAATATTCTCTCATTGATCATCCTATTATTCCCTTATAGTCTAATATTCTTTAATTGGCGCCAGTTATCATTTATTCGAAGAATAAAAAACGAGAAGATTAGATTATTAAAATCGGACTGTTAAACCGTAATACTTGGGAAACTTTTCTCAGTCACAAATTAATAGCAAATTAATATTCTCTCATTGATCATCCTATTATTCTCTTATAGTCTAATATTCTTTAATTAGCGCCAGTTATCATTTATTCGAAGAATAAAAAATGAAAGATTAGATTATTAAAATCGGACTGTTAAACCGTATCAATATTCCCTCGTTAATTACGATCTGTTCTCTTCTATAGTCTAATATTTTTTAATTAGTCCCAATTATCAATTCGAAGAATAAAGAATGAAGGACAGGAATGATTAAACTATTAAAATTTGACTGTTAAACCGTAATACTTGGGAAATTTTTCTCAGTCACAAAGAGCAAATTAATATTCTCTCACTGATCATCCCATTAGTCTCTTATAGTCTAATATTCTTTAATTAGCGCCAATTATCATTTCATTCGAAGAATAAAAAACAAAAGGCAGGAAAGATTAGATCATTCTGAAACTCATTTCAGTCGCAAAGAGAAAATCAATATTTTCTCATTAATTATCCTATTGTTCTTCGAATATTCTTTAATTCGTACCAATTACCAATTCAAAGAATGAAAAACGAAAGAGAGGGGAGATGAGACTATTAAAATTAGGTTTTCAGACCTCTCTTACAAACTCTGTAACAAATACAATAGAACTCCAATTATATGGATTTTTCTGGAATGAATAATTTATTACGAGTGGAGCACTTCATTTGTAGAGAAATCAGTTCCCAGGTAGAGAACTACGCTGGTTCTTTCCTTTGCTGGTGATTTTTCGTTCATGCAGCAAGAGTTCAATTTTAGATAAGTGGATTCAAACGAAAGTTCATTTAACCTTTTCTGTCTGGGAAAGAATTCAGGAACTCCTGATTCTCTGATTTAAAAAATTATACCTGATATTGTACCTTATATAACCTGAGCGTTATTTTTTGATAAAATTGTAATGTTTATTACAAAATTCTTCGTAAACAGGCTGAAAAAACTATTCTTTTTCTGCGTTCTATTCAATTACAAGGAGATTTGAATTCACAAAAGTTTGTGATTTTTATTTATTTTTGTTCTGTGAATTGTATGTTACAATTGCTGAAAAATTTCGAGCAAATAGTATAAACTTTGTCAAAATGGGTGTCAAACTACAAAATTGATTTCTTGTTTCTTCATTAAGCCAAGTCACGTTCCTTTGGCATACTTTTATATTCACATAACTCTACGGACAATTATTTCAACAACCTCTACGAAAAATCATTAAAAATATTATGTACGTGACGATCCGTTTTATTTCGTACTAAATAAAATATTTTTGAAATTTCTTTTTCCTCGCTTATATTTCATTTGCTTCGTTTAATTGAAAAAATGCTATCGCTTTTTTCCATTCTCCAGACTGAAAGAGTTAATCGAGTATCGACTAAAATCTGAAGTTCATACGAGCAGAGTACTCAATACTACAAATCACAAAGAAAAAAACGATTAATATTCTCCCATCAATTATCCTGTATTCTCCCTTAGTCTAATATTCCTTTAGTAACGCCTAGTATTTATTAACGCGTTCATCATACGTGAATGCTACAGCCATTCATTGTTCATAGCTATTAACCCCTTGCACTGGCAACTGGTTCGCGGACCATAACGAGTGACCGAACCGTTTATCAATGATTCGTCGCTTTCTTTTTCTTTTGAACTCGTCGGTGCGATATCACTGGATAGAAATTATCATTTGTTCTGGGTTACAATTAAATATACTTAAAACTGGGAGGAAATGTTGCAATTTGGGACAAAAATTCCATCGCAAGATGTTAAAATTCCAACCACACTCGGACAAAATGTGACTAATAAAAAATTGGATATCGCAGTTAATTTAAATCAATTGTCTTTCTCTGCAGCTCGATGGAATTTTTACTACGTGTCAATTATCGATTAATTGCCGAAAACAGGGGACGATTCCAAACGAAGGAGAATCCCGTTTTCAACGCTCGTCCCGAGCATCCTTCGGAATTAACTTCGAATCCGAGATAACAACGTTATCGATTTGTGGGCAGGCACGATCGTCGATCAGCGAGAATTCTCCGAAATCGCGCGTATTTTCACAGCCGGGGTTATTTCAGCGACTCGCGGATTAGCAATTTATTGTACTTCGGCCGAGCAGCACTTCTAGCAAGCCGATCGGTCCTCTCTTCTCGGCGCGAGCTAAACGCAATTTGCTCGAACGGAGGCTAATGCAGGAGTTAGTAGACAGCCAGCGCTGTGGGTCACGACGTAATCCGATTTCCTGAGCGTTAATTCGCGTACCGACCGAGGAGACCTCGTGCTCCTGCGATCGCATTATTTCCAAACCGATCACTCGTTCCGGAGGGCAGACCAGCTTCAACCACTCGGCTACACGATGTCTGCTACGTACCGTCATTGGCTACTTTAGCTAATTGATCGATAAGACAAATCCCCTCGGGTTTCGTATGTTTCAGTATTTTACAAGCGGATCTTTCCTTTCGCAAACTTCCTTCACTTATTTATTAAATTCTTAGCGAAGTACTATATGATATAATATAATAAAATATAATATAATATAAAATAATATAATATAACATAATATAAAATAATATAATATAATATAACATAATATAAAATAATATACCATAAAATAATATAATATAATATAACATAATATAAAATACTTCGATAAGAATTTAATAAATATTATTTTATTTTATTTTATATTATTTTATATTATATTATATTATATTATATATAATGTAATATCTCTCTCTCTCTCTCGTAAATTTTTGCATCGATTTATTTATTTATTTGATTCATCATTTATTTTAGATTATTTTCGAACATATCAATTATTACTATTAACCTACATTTTTTATTTATTTTGACGTGATATAATCGAGGATGACGAGCCATTGAATCACGGAAATGTCTGTTACGTTTCAATATTGAATATTTCAGCCAGCTGATAGATGAGATAAAGCCTCCGGTTTATCGAGCATTTCAGTATTTTATAATCGACTTTTTCCTTTCGCAAAAGTTGCGCGAAATTTATAATTGTGTCGCGTAGACGTCAACGTGTCTTCTTCTTTCCGATTTCGTCTAATTAATTCCAAGTGTAAGTGAACAGAATTTCTTCCAATATAAAATTGATTCGTATCAACGTTAAACGATTCGTCTGCTCGGTGTATGCGATGCTTCCGCGTGGCTGCCTCGATTAATAAATAAATAAGCTCGAATTTATTTCAAATATTTCAATATCTCACGATTGGATTTGAAATTCTTTTTATTAAAATCAAATCAAATGTAGAATCTTGAAACACTAGATCCAGTCACACTCATAATATTTCTCCAGTTCTCTCCTCCTCAATATATCATCAGTCTTAAATTTCAAATATTCCAATATTTACATAAGTAATTGAACGCCTATATAAACGGAGTTAAACACAATTCAACATCGTACGTAACAATCCCCAATAGACGAGATTTCCACGAAATCAACGCGTTACTTACCGCGTAATTTTCTCTTGGACAATCGAAAACTGATTAACCTATTAATAAATCGTACAAAACTGTCAAACCTGAAACTGCTGTTTGATCAATTGAAATAAAATCGCAACGACGATGCCCAGGTTGAGTGTCAAGTTGAAGAAAAATTCGTTGGTTGTTGTCCCAGGTGGAACAGTTGCCAGTAAAATTCACTTTTCGATGAAAATACAGGGACGTGCGCGGCGAGGGAAATGATTGTACAGTAAAAGACAAGGGAATAATGTAAATTCGCCAGCCGCTGTTCCGTAATCGGCGATTGTGTTTCGTTAACAGCGTGTGATTTTGTGATTCTCGATTGTGAAAGCGGGCGTATCGAAATCGAATACTGTAATCACGCGTTCGCAACGGAATTTAATCCTTTCAGCTGCGCGTCACCTGTTTGAACGGGCGGTTCTGACGTATCGCTCCATGGAAAAACGGACGATTTTTAGTAGAACGAGGTCTGCGGATATCGAACGATCGAAATTTCTGCATTCTAGATTGGTATCGAAGTGTTATATATTGGAATAGTATTTGATAACGAGCGGCATACGCTGTGAATAATTATTTAAAATATCGAAATCGTTTAATGAAAGAAAGAAGGAAACGACGGTAACGTTCTGACTAAATTCTTGAACGAATAAGCGAGGAAAGCTTTACAATTGATATTCCACAGTGGATCTATTTGATTCACGTTGTTGATCGCAGATATTATTTGTTGTGTCTAATCAAAATTATTCTTATCTTTTAGTTACTTTATTGTCGTTTCTAATTGACATTGTCAATTCGTAATTTCTAATACAATAATACAGAATAATATAAAATAAATAATAATATAAAATAATATAAAATTTGTCAAAAATTTTCGAATGGACAGCGACATATAATGTAGTATCGGTTATTATAATTAATCTGTAGTTAATAATTTTAGTTGTGTTTAAATATAACAGATGGCCTGTTTGTTGATCATAGAAATATGATAAAATATGGATGTGATTTTCTTTTTTAAAAGAAGAGTAGAGTCGTGAGAGAGCGTTGAAAGAGAACTGTTGAAAAGTGTCAATTGTGTCGTTAAAAGAATTTATTTGAGTTGTTAATTAGTGTTGTTTTAAAGTAATTTGTCTCGTTTAATTATTTGTTGTTCTATTATCGTTATTTTCATTAAATAAACATTATCTATAACATATCTCTACAAGAATATGGTTCTAATATTTATGTCTAACAGCGTATGTCCTACTCTACTGGCGACAAAGTGGACAAAATAATATAAAATATTAAGATCTGCCAGAAAATTTCCCAGAAGATAGTTGCAAGGAGAGATTTCAATATTTATGATTGACAGGGTATATTCCATTTTACCGACTGAGTATAAAAAGTGTATAAAGATAAATAATTACGAATAAATATCCCAATATTTACGTCTAATGGCATGTATTCTATTTCATTGACGGAGAAATATACAAAATAACACGAAACATTATAAATACAAAAATTTGTTAACTATTTGCTAGTTAATAGTTACGAGTGTAGATATCTTAATATTTATGGCTGACAATGTGTGTCCCTTTCTACTCGAGATTGAGAGAAATATAAAGCGCGAAAGTACAGGAAAAATTTGCTCAAATTTTCGTCTGGCACTTGAGAAGTGTTGTAAGTAATAAATAAATAGCTATTTCTGTTGAATACGTCGGGTCTGTCTACGTCAGGGATATTCTACTTAAGAGAGTATTCTAGCGTGAAGTGCATATTTTTTTAACTTTGTTAGGGAATTTTTTGCAAAGAAACTATTATACCTTTTGCAGTAAAATTGACAAGGTTTATTTGTACGTATTTCAACGACGTTTTAAAATTTTTTCGGACAAAAAAAGTTAAAATTAGTGTCACTGCATACTCTCAAAGTCTCTTTTAAAAAAGGTCGTCTCACGGTGTTCATGATTCCGGCCATTCTGTTTGCCGGAAATAAAAAAACGAAAAATGTTCCTTAATTAGTATGAGTTTAGCTACAGCAGGTACCAAACTCAAACAAAAGAAAAAAGTCGGTAATTAAAAAAGTGGCGACACTTTGAAGTTCGATTATCGATTTTTGCATGTTTCTGTTAAACTTCGGAAGCCTAGAAAAATATAAAAAGTAAAATTTTTTGGTTGATTCTGGCAGAGACTATAGTCACACGTGTACTAAATGCGTATTTAAAATTTTGAGCCAATTGGTCAAGTAGATTTCGAGATATCATGGACACAGTTCTGAGAAAAATAGTTTCCAGAAAAATGCCTTTAAAGTTTAGTTTGTTGCGGTAACAATGACGCTAGTCGTCGCGTCCTTCAAACATAACTTCGTTAATTTTAGGTTAGTTCACATGCAAGGTTGCAGAGATTTATTTTCGAAACTATGTCCTTTAAGAATATGCAGAAAAAAAAAACAATCGATTTTTTTCAAAAGTTCACACTAGAATACCCCCTTAAAAACCAGCACGGCACACGTAGAGACATCTCTTCGCGAACGATCGAAGACTCTGAGCTGCGTGGCTGAGCACTGCACGCACACACGAGAACGGAAACGAATGAATTTCCGGGGAACGGCCACGGCTGCTAGAAATTGCAACGCGTTATAAATTGAATGCGAAATTTCATCGGGGATTTGTTGTTCGCCGTGGCACGCAATTTCAGATCGCAGCTGCGTTCTTTCTTTTTTTTTTTTTTTTTTTTTTTTTTTTTTTCACTCCCGTCGCGGTATTTAATAACGCACGCGTGTGCATCAAAAAAAAAGAGAGAGAGGGAGAGAGGGAGAGAAAGGGGAGAAAAATGACGTGAGTTAGATGGCACGTAGTTGTGCAGTTTATCGAACGAATTTACAAAAATTGAACCTGTCCCGACGGACGAATACCATTTCTGCTGTATCGGCTACTTTTTTTTTCTCCTTTTTTTAAATACGAGGAGGAAACGATCGAATACAATGAAAACCATAAAAATTCACATTTTGAAGAATATTATTGAGAAAATGGGAATTGGGTAAAAAATCGTTTTACACGTCGAATATCATAGGAAGCTTTATGTTTTCGAGAGATTTTATATATATTTTTATATGGTCGTACGCATTTTGTGGAATTTCGCACTTTTAATTTTCCCACAAAATGCATAGACATCCGCAGTCTATTAATAAAATGTATTCTATTTTTGGTTAAAAAAATAAATGAAAATAAAAATTGCGTGTTTCAATCAAGTTTCTTATTTTTTTCATTTTTTTTTTTTTTTTTTTTTAATAGAGAACGTTTTCAATCAATCCCAAGTTACCAAAATTTTATTTGTTTTTTTTTATACAGGTTTTTTGTTTGCTTTTGAAAATACACATGTGTTTGTTCATCGTTTCCAACATTTTAAACATTTTCATCGCAATATTGAAATATTACTCCGAAAATTGTACCAGATTTCCAATCAATTATCTACTTTTTCAATTGCGTTACATAAAACTCCCATGTAATCGCAAGGTGACATTAAAATCAATGGAATCGATAATATTTTGCTATTACAGTAAATCACAATATTTTTCAAATATAAATATAGTAAATGGAGATGAGCGAATTCACGAAAATCATTTAGTGCACACTCGATAAATACCCTTTGAGGCAAGAACGAATTGATTACTGTTGCAAAAAGGAACTGCAACACGCTTTCACATTCAGATTGAAATTAAAAATTCATGGAATGTTTCCCGCTGGTAACACATTACTTACAATTTCAACGATCGCACAGGATTTCAACATACACGCGCACGCAGAGCCGCAGAATATCGTTAGAAACAATCGCGAGGAATTTTCATTGCGTCCTTTTCCAAAGAAACACCCGGCGCACGTTCGTTTGTTTTAAAATTTCATTTGCCGTGTGAAAGAAACGTATACGAGGAATAAAGGTATGAACTTTAGTTAGTTGCGTTCGCTAACTAAATCAATGGGACATGAAAATAATGGCAGCTGTAATACCGCTGAAGTCTGCGAAGGAGAGAACGTCGACAAAACCTCGGGGAACAAAAATTCTATTTCTATTCGAACACGTCTTGTTAGCAAATAAATACAGACCAATTTTTTTCACCATCGGCCGAACGCTTGGTGGAGAAATATCGAGAAGAATTACTCTCGTATATATTTGTTACTATCATAATCGTATTAATTAATTACCACATCTGTTAACGATCGCGATCAATTTTATTATTGATCTTCGAATTAAGAGGATTTCTCCAATTCGACTTTTCATTTACTGTTCACGAAGTAATTGAACTATGTTACATTAATCTACGTGAACGTTCGAAATTTTTGTATATTTTTGTATATTTAGTCATAGCTTGTATTTTTTTTTTTATAATTAAAAGTAAATTCGTGTTTATATTTTAAATTAAATTGCCTGGATATAAAATTGTCTTGAAAATATCATTCATTATTTGAGTTATACTGCAACCGTAAAATTGTCGTGGAAATATCATTCGTTACTTGAACTATATTGTACTATATTGAACTACGTTGTAATTTATATATTATTATTGTAATTTATATATTATATTATTATTTATAATTAGATAGATTTTGCAGATTGAATTTTCTTTTTATTTTGCACGTTACACTTTTGCTTTCCTTTTTAACACAATAACATTCGTTTCACGATGATTCTGAAACTCGAAATAAATTATTTTAGCACTCGCGACTGTTTACTATATTCCACATTGAGTTTCTCTAGAAACGAAGCAGTTTCTTCGTCTGTTCAACTAATTTCCTCAATCCAACGTACAATCCAAGTCCAACGTTACAAACGTGCATCGAAGAACTATTCGAGAGCTACAAAATAATGTGCAAAATGACCACGTCGAAATTTTGCAGATCGCTGTTGATTCGCCGTTGATTCTCGTTCCGTTTCGTTTTCCTTTAAACGTGCCTCTCTGCACATTTGCCGTTTGAAGCTCCTCCGCTCTCAGTTTCCCCGCTGCAAATTGAAACTCCAGGTTTGGGAAAGCTCCGGCAGAAAACGATCGACAGAAAAATCCCGTTCAGAAACGACGCGGAAGGTTGGCCCGCGGGTAATCTTCTTAAACTGCTGGCAGAAAAAAAGTGGACGCGCCACTGCGAGCACGGAGATATATATACATACATATATATATGTGTGTGTGTGTGTGTATGCACGTGCATACGTCGCGATCGAGCGTATACGGGCGATTTAACGCGGGAAAACGAACGGTTAGGAAAAGTTCGGCCGGTTATTCGCGATTCATTCATTCGCGGCCGCTGTGTCCCGGCCAGCCGAATTCTCCACGGCTGAAGAGGCCGCGGTATACTCGCGCGCGGAATACCGGAGGAAATCATTTTCAACGGTGCACACAGGGTGGACGGGCCTCGGCTAGCGAAACGAAAGATGAGATAGAAGAGAAGGAAAGAGAAAAAAAAAAAAAAAAAAAAGAGAGAAAAGAAAAAGCCAGCCACGAATATGACTGACATCGAGGCTATATCCCGCGCGATCTACACGAGCCACGGGAGAAGTGGCGAAAAAAAACCGACGAGGGAGGAAAAAGAGGAGCTCGGAAGCTGGACCCGATGGAAGAATAGAGGTGAACGTTGAACGAGGACAGCGCTCTCTCTCTCTCTCTCTCTCTCTCTCTCTCTCTCTCTCTCTCTCTCTCTCTCTCTCTCTCTCTCTATCTCTATCTCTATCTCTATCTCTATCTATCAGGGATTGGAAGGAAATGGACGGATATATGGACGAACGAGAGGAGGGTGGAAAAAAAGAGAGAAGAAGGTGCTTTGGAGAGCGGAGTCCAATTTTTAATGAAAGCGTGGAAAGAACCATAAGTGCATATAGTGGCCGCATTTGTCCGCTTCTGAAGGGTTCTTCATGCAGAAGAGTCCTGCAGGACTATCGTGGTCGTGGTCGAGCCCGATCCGGTTATACACTGGACTCTGGATATATCAGTGGGAGAGAACCGGGCGGTGGGAGGGAGGGGGAAAGATTCCAATAATTGCTGGTCGAAAAATATCGACAGTAAACTCTCTCGACCCCTTTAATTGCACACCGAAGCACAAGGCATATTGGTTTTCCAGTCGTGTCCTCTCCTTTCCTGCTCTTTTTTCGAATCTAGTCTAGCTGCCTCTTCCTCTTTCTCTTTCCTTTCGCTTCTCGCTCGAGACGAGTTCGTCTCTCTCTCTCTCTCTCTCTCTCTCTCTCTCTCTCTCTCTCTCTCTCTCTCTCTCTCTCGTTCGTTCACGGCCTTTCACCCTCCTCCACTCGGACTAATCCTCTTCCGCGGAGAAAAAGTAGTATCACCGGAATCCCTTCCTGAATCGTACGTACATCCTTGCTCGTATCTTTTTCTTTTTTTTTCTTTTCTTTTCTTTGTATTTAACATTATTATCCACGAATGGATAGGAATTATATTTGTTAGCAGAAAGGGGACAAACATGGAGTTAATTTTCATTTCATTAATTTCTGATGATCATTGTACGACCTTTTCATCGACTATTGTTGCGAATGAAGGACATGTTTCTCTTTTTCTTTTTCTTTTTTTTTTTTGACAAAATCAAAAAAGATACGCGGTCAGAATCAATTTTAATTTTGATAGAGATTTGAATTTCCGGCTTCTCGTTTTTCATTGTTACTGTCGTGAAATATTTTTTGAGGGGAAGAAGAAAGAAGTTCACTCCAATTCATTTAAATATTAATTTAAATTTAAATTTTCAAAATGTGAATTTCCGTGCGACTCAACGGATGAGATTTCTTGTTCCGGTGGAGACCCTGAAATGAAAATTGGTGCCCGCTGTGGAACTTTTGTGTCGATCCGAATATCGTATTTTATTAACAGCGAGGAAGGGCGGAGGGAAGGGCCATTTTCAAATATTAGTTCCGGGCAAAGAGAATTTATCAACGGTTAGAATAAGTCAACTTATTGGAAGATTCGACCGAGTAAATATAAGATTCTGCCTCGACGGTCCGATTAATTGATTTTTCTTCCACTCAGCAATTTTCTGATGCGAAACCTCATACTTTTATCTCCATATTCCATGTCGCTCCATTCGCTCCTTCGTTACGTTCGAAAATAATTTATTGCAAACAACAGAATTGCATTAAATTGAATTAAATTTTAAAGGATCATCGATAAATATTAATACGATAGAATTGAAAATGAAACCTACGAAAATAATTGCTTTCCATCAAAAATGTGTGTGAAAGAAAATTAAAAATTTTTCGTTCAACTATTTCGAATAAAATTGTCCGTCTTTTGTGTCATGAAAAAAGAACATCGTAGCAAAAAGCTACAAATTTAAATTATTCAAAGATAGATTAATCGATCGAATACGCGAAAAATGAGGATTGATGACTAGTTTCTCATTTTACGAAAATAGAAGTCTCCAATAAATAGAGCTGCCCAATAAGTTTGTACTTTTTATGCATAATTCCATGAAGCAATTCACAATACCACCGTGTACATATTCGGGATGCAGTATTTTCCGGTAACAACATAAACGATCATTCATTATCAGTATTTAATGCATTGGTATTTTGCATGGCAATTTGTCTCGTGATTGTTAGCTCAACCAGCACGTATGCTTCATTTCGATGCGATTAAGAACGGCGTGACTTATTAATCGGTACACGTTTTGTTTCACGAGACTCGAAATANTGGGGAACAGGGATATTAATTTGAAGATAAATTACATAATAACTGTGAAGTTTTTAACTGTATTTAACTTTATCATAGAAACATAAGATGCTCTAAATTTCAGCATGAAAATTACTACAGTCACCTATAACCCTAATTATAAATATTGCATTTTAAGAAATAAATACAATCGTAAAAAATTTTCTTTGTATACTTAGAAAATTGACTTGTACATTTAGAAAATTCATCCACTTGCTGTTTTGAAAGAAGAATTTCAACGTAATCCCAATTCGTTATGAAATTCTGAAGTCATGATTATTCATGATCTGTTGTTGCAATTTTCCTCGTGTTATAAATTTATAATTTAGAGACGCTGCTAGTGCAGAACTTGCCTAAATTGATCTGGTAGAATAACATGAAAATGGCCCCCGAAACATGGAACACGAAGAAATGACAATTTAATTAATTTCGAATGGAAACAAGAAGGATAGAAATACCATCTAGACGCTTGTGTCTTTTCTTTTTTTGAAGATTTTATTGGTTCTGAATACTATAATACAATACTACATCGAAAGTCAATATTACCTACACTATTAGAGCCAGAAGAAATTTAGCAATTTAAGCTTCACAAAATTTTCATCAACTTATTAACTTCAGTACAATGAAGTAAGCGTATTTTAATATTTGTCAGTATCTCAACAATAATTGCGCTCTTTTCATGTGTCTCTTTCGTTGGAGCTTGGTAGAAGTGGACTTTAGCCGAAACGTTTGTCCCAGAGTTCCTTGAAAGAGGTCCTGGAGCAAGAAAAATCATATATTTCCTCGAATCATATATTCATCAAGTCGAAAACTGAATATTGGCCTAATTCGAAGTAATTCGAAGGAACCAAAAGTGAGAGGAATCACGTACTTGCGACAAATGCAGACTCCGTTCTCGCAGCGGCCACCAGCTTTGCCCATGCTGAGACAGTTAGCAGCGCAAGCACTGTGTTCAGCGACCCCTTTGATGGAGAGAAGGTCGCAGGTCACTCTTCTTTGTCTGTCGGCACGCTCCTCAACACCAGGCAGTTCGAGAGGCTCATACTCCTCCTCTGAAATTTAAACATCGTCTCTGAGCCTTCCGTATGGTACATGATACGCAAAGAAATCGTTAGATCAACGCTTCGATATTGAGGAAGAGAAAAATGGTGTATCATTTAACAGATCCGCGCTAAAACGATCCGTTTCGTTCTCCTGTGTTTATTGACTTGGCTGTCACAGTCACAGAGGAATTTTTCGGAGAAAATTATTTAATCTAGTAAATTACACAATTACTACATCTGGTAAATATTATTTGAGGGAAATCTACAGGAAAAGGGAGAAATTTCTATGTATTTAGCCGTATGTCAAAATAAATATAAATTCTCGAAAATTTTAATTAACTGCTGATAAAGAGAGCGTTGAAAAAGTGATGAATTTAAAATTTGTTAAAATTGACATTCTCCTTTTGGGCCCTTCATTGGCTAAGTGAGTATGTTGTTTAATCAGGCAGCTAAATTGTTCCTTAGTTTTCATAAATATAAGGAGAATGAAATTTTTGACGATAGTTTGCAATTATTAGGTTGAGGATTTTCAAGAATTCGTGAAATATATGAGGATAAAAATATAGTCAGAGCGTGAAATAAACAAATATTCCAAGTATAGTTCGTGGATGAAACTATCCTTTATCTAGGTTTCATTTCACTAAATCTATTCATAAAAATATGAATTTGCGTGAATGAATATTCCAAAAATTGGAATAATGAAAACTATTAAAAAACAGAAAGTTGAAAGATATTGATTTTGCAACGACTGCTACTATTATACTAGTAATTGTAAGTAGAGCCAGGGAATTCTATTGAAAATTTATAAAATCTAGAATCAAATGACACTACACTGGCCAAATATCTATTGCCCAAGTATCTATCAAAAATCAAGCAACGACTTATCATGACGTTACGAGTGTATCAGTTTCTTGAAATTTTGCAAAACTGTAGGATGTAGGCGAAAGCAACATGATGAAAGAAATATTGTTTTGAAAATGTAAAACTTGATAACATAAAGTGAGGATCAAGAAAGTGAGAATGAAAAGTTGAAGTTAAATGATCAAATAATTTGACAATGGAAATAATGTGAATTGTTTAATCAAACGAATTTCCTTTCACTCACCCACTGGTACTGCCATGATGGTGGCTACAGCGACGAAGAGAAGAGCGACAAGAAAATAGATCTTCACCATCTTGACTGAAATTTTTGTTGAAACTCGGCGATCGACTGTGTCGAAGACGATGGAAGACAAACTGTTAATGAGAAGTGTCTGATAAATGAACGATAGCTCGCGCGACTTATATACGACTCCGTGTTTATGGAACTTCGTGTGTAGAAATGTATGTCAACCGTGAGTTGAGTTGTATTAGTGTCTTGTTATCAGCGAACGGGTATGCCCCTGAAATGAACTCTTGTCACTTTGTCACCTCAAATGGAAAAATGTTATCTCTGTTGCAACATGTATGTTTCAAGTAAATAATAGCTAATTGCTAAATTGCTCTGTGTACTTTAACAGGTGTGTCATATCTACAATAGAAATTAGAATGGGATAGTTTTTCCTCCATGCTTCTAATTTGAATGATAATCATTTTGAATTATAATACAAATTAATACAGTGTAAAAATTGTAAAATTAGAAATTAGAATTCAGGTTGTGATACATCTGTTTCAGTAGTATTTTATTATTTCATTCCGAATTATTATAAACTTTCTGCTGTTATGTAATATTGGGTATTTATACCATTTTTTAATACTCCTGTTATTGTTTTCATATTACTTCTATAAATTTATTAAACATTGGATCCATTTGTCATCTTTAAAACAAACCAACCTTTCCAAAAAAAAAATTATAAAACTCAACTTAGAATCAATTATAATAGCTAGAATCCTATTCGGACATTTAATAAATAATTTAAAATAGTTACATTTCTTTCTATTTAATAAGGATTTTAATAATTCGCTCTTCCATTGCATCA